AGTTACACAGTTAATTGCATGAGATTAAGGCTCGTTGTTGCACTACTTGATTTTGTTTCCGTTCTCTGTTTAGTTTTCAGGCTTGTGACTAGATTAAGCTGTGTTTTCACATTCTGAGAAGCAGTAAGGTATTCAGAGGGCGGAAAATACAGTTAACCAATGACACATTAGTCGAAGGAGATGCACATGCTTTTAATTAGGAAGGCAGTCGACAGCAGAAACAAATTAAGCATGAAAATCAAATATTCTGATACTCTAAACTGGAATTCGACTGCTCTGAAGCCTGTATGAGTGCTGTTACAGACCTAGTTGGGTTACTAATGTATGTTGGGTGTAACAGCTCTGAGGAACTGATATGGAACCTGGATATTTGACATTAAAAGTAGTTGAGGTAGTATGTTAATCCGAATGTCTCTAACACTGCATACTTGCTGGTTACAGCTGCATGCTAGGAAGGCATTTTAGTTAGTGGTTTATAAGTTTCTTATATTTTACCACTCAGTCGAACAGTGAGATATTTTTAGCACATAATTTAATTAATCACTGGACAGCTGAAATTTTACTGTAATATTATTTCAAATGAAAATAAAATTTATTATATGTTACATAATTGTTCTAGTGTGAAGAATTTATTGTTTTTTTTCAGTTTTTAGACTCTGAAGCATCGTCTTATTAATATTCGATCTATATTGATCTGATAAATGGTCGTCACAAGTATGTATCTTCATCTAACTTGTTATGGATTTATAGGTTTTCGAAATTTCTTAAATGTATGTCCTTTAATAACTACAGCAGTCGCCTTATGGATTTGTGTGATCATATATTTATGTTTCGACTTCTTCACCGTGGAAAGTAAAAACAAACAAAATTTAGCCTGTCAGTCCTTACTGGAAATAATTACTGGTTTAAGAGAACAAGTGGATATCGGGTCAACGAACTTAAGGGTATTTCTTACGTCGTATGATGCTCAGTAAGTTCGTTTGTTTTTAAAGGTAACCAATCTTCTGTTTATACGTCACTTTCATTCAGACATGTGAATGTATTTCGTATTTGTTTATGATATGCGAAATGTAGTACAATAATGTTCAAGGGGTTCGCTACGTCGATGTCGTCTGCTTCTCTGCTATGTGAATTACCAGTTAAGCAGATGAACTTTGTCAGTCCTAATTACTTACTACATAGTTAGTGTGGACGTGAAATCTTGTCAGTGTGAAAATCTGTATATCAGTGAAAATGGACTCAGCCATTTTATTAGGTGCAAACTGTCCGGTTGGTATCGGTGAGACGATAATAACGATTGGTTAGATACCTTGAACTGCTCAAAATTATTTGTGTTCGCGCAAGTCTATCGATTGTTTCTGTTCTTTCAAATTCTAAAGGTCTGAACTCATCACATGTGTCTTTTTCATTCTAAAGTTATCTCACTAAATTATACTCTTTGTGCAATACTTTCTAAAACGAATGTTCTTCATTACCGCTAATACTTCCACTACCTCTATCCATTCGGGATATGAACTGACAATTGTATCTCTGTGACAATGTGCTATGGCAACCTTGATGCAGTGAAGCTTAAATAAACTAATTATTTGACCGTATAGAATGAGTTTACTTTGAAGTAATCAATAATAATTAAAACACTATAATTTTTCCAATCAATTCCATTTTTTGCAATAGAGATAAAAATGAAAGTACCATTGTTGATACCGGTAAGTTTTATGTGTTGTGTATGTGTGACAACTTATGACATTGACTAAATATTTTCCAATTATACCGCTATACACTGCAAATGGTTAATTGCATGACTTAGTCACATACTAGCTACTGTTTTTAGTGCTCTCTAAAACATTTTCATCAATCCAGGCAATAGCTCCTCTGTTGGAAATATTCACTGTATAAAGTTTCAACATTGTCATAATATATTCATTGGTATATATTCCGGTTTGATTTTATATGATTTGGGCAAGAAACGGAAATGAGAGCGGAGAATATTCTCTCTAGTAAATTCTATTGATATTCTAACATTTTTTATCCGAATTAATTAATTCAAAAAGTGACCAGGATTAAAACAAGTAAATCGTTTAACATTATAACACATGAATTCCAAATTTTATATAAAGTTGCTTAATTGTTATTACCACAGTTGGACAGGGCTTTAAAAACAGGTAAACTACTACTGATATCAGTCGTTACTTTCTGTATATATATATATATATATATATATATATATATATATATATATATATTCCGAAGGTCTCTCAGAGAAAGTTATATTGGCATAGGTTGCGGAAATTCGTAGTTTTGCGCATATTTTTGACAAAGATAAAGAAGAATCGAAAAAGTGGATGTCTTTGACGGACATCATGGAATGAATAAATCCTGATGACAGTTCGCCATAAGCTCTAACTCGACGAGTAGTGTTTGAGTACATAGCTTGTATAAGATAAATGTACTTTTTCGTTACACCTTTTTATGACAGACTACCTTACGATTCACAGAGTCGAATGCCGCCTTGAGATCAAGGAATAAAACATTAGTGAGACGTCTAAATGTGTATGTATGTTCTAGAATTCGACGAAGAGTGAGAATTTGGTCTGTACATCCACGTTTTGGTCGGGAACCAGCCTGGTTTTATCGAGTGTGCGTTTCACGAGCTCTGATTTTGTATCGAAGTATTGTGGGAGCTATCATCTTAGACATCATATTAGTTAGACTGACTCTTGTGCGATTATCACGAGAGGCCTTTTTTCCTTTTCTTATAGACTGGGACAATCAGTGATTGAGTTCAGTCAGATAGGATTATGCCCATTAGCCAGATTCTACCTGAGCAGCATTTCCCAACGTTATGCTTTACCTTACTAGCAGGTTCCACTGCTGTTTGCATGACTTTTTGTATGTCATTTCACTTACGAGGCTGTCTTACTGTTTTTCGAGTTGCTCCGGAAACATATTCTTAGTTAAGCTATCATGAAGTGGAAACTTAAGACGTTTCCTGTGTCTAGTAAGTCGCAAACAAATACGCGCTCGCACTAGAGCATGATGTGCATCTAAACATATGCTTCAGAACGAGCGACAGTTCACTTTTGAACCTCTCCATAGATGGCTGATGGCGATGTGCTCTAGTTGTGTCCAGTGTTGCAACGACTTTGTTGTTCTCCATGTCAAATGATGTATTTGCTTGTGCGTAGAGTTAGTGTTTGCTAGAAAAAGGCGGTTATTTGAGCGAAGCTGCAGCAAACGGTCGTCATTATCTGTTCTATTAGCTGGGATAATATAAGATCCACTCAAGTATCTTTCCCTTTCTTTTAGTTTGCCTACTTGAGAATTAAAAACACCAGTCACTCATACTTTATCAGTGCGCCAAACGTTTTGGACGAGGTCCGAAAGCTTTAATTGAAACTCATCTTTGACCCCGTCTGAACTGCAGTCAATGAGACCGCTGGCAGATCCAACGTAGAGACAACGGCGAGTTTCCCTGTCCTTGCAATTCTTTAGTGTCGCATTTCGTGGGACAGCGCACAAGTGACTATCTACTGGAATCCATTCTAAGGGACCTATTTCTGTTTTAGAATTCAATGTTTTACTTACACCAGCGCGTCCCCGGGAAGCAGAAACAGCTTCAAGATAAATTAAGCGTAAATCAAGCTGGTTCATTTTGTTGAAAAGTTCAGGTCAAATTACTGACTTTATTAAGAACCTTGTACGTGTTTCAGAGGCGCAACATACATCGATGACTGGAGATTCCAAAGACCTAGAAGGTCCAATATGTAGTTCAAAGCTGGGTTTTAAGAGATCAGGAATAACGTTTCTTGAACTCGAGTCATTTGCACTAGCGATGTGAGGTGATAATAATGGAGTGTGAGAAGGGTTAGTGGTGGAGATAAATGAGATGTTATGGTGTGTTGGATGGATTTGATTGTGATCCAAAGCAAAGCGAAGCGGAGAATACCAATGGGTGAAAACTATTTGATGAAGAACGGCTGACTATTTACAGTCAAACAAAAATAAGCTAGACCTGTAATAAG